AGGTGTGGCATTCCGCGACAAGGGGCTTCTCATTAGAGGCCCGTCGTACGTTTGGGCAAGTGTGTCCGAAATTATCTGAACGTGGAGCGAGGAATGGTGGTGGTGGTAGTGGGTGAATCATACGACAACTGTGTCCGATAGCCTATGATGGCTATCAGCTTATCTAAAGACAGCCGTCTCAAAGTGAGTTCAGGTAACGGCACGCCCATGTGCCGCGCCAACCCAGTATGGATGAATGGAACTAAATTTATTCCACCACCTGAATGTTTCCTTTGCTAAATTTACGACTAAATTAATTTTCGGCTTTTGGCGTCAGTATGACGATATGACGTCGTCGGCCCACACACCCACCTCTTTCTCGAAAGCGACGACCTGGTCCTCGTCGCGCGGGAAGCCGTCGATGAGGAACCCGTGAGCGCCCCTGAGGTTTGTCAGCATGGCGCGCTTGAGCAGCTCCAGAATCACCTCCTAGATGGGCGCGGTGGTTACATACACGTGAGCGGTTGCTGAGGTGCGGGGAAGGTACCCGATCACCATACCAACCCCCGCCCCCCCCCCAAAAAAAAAAACTCGTACCTTTGGCACCAGGTTGCCAGCCGCGACGATGGGCGCGACGAAGCGGCCCACGCTAGAGCCCGCTCGAACCTCTTGGCGGACAAGCTCGCCGAGGGAGATGTGCGTGAGGCCGAAGCGCTTCACCAGTAGCTCGCTCTGCACGCCCTTGCCCGATCCAGGACCTCCTGCAAAGCATATGCGCGTGCTGGGAGTCCGGGAGTAATGTTGACATTCCAAAAAAGTATTCTGGGAACATTTTCCAATTTTTTTAAATGTCTAAATTTATTCTTGTTCTTGAAAATTTCATCTTTTTTCAAGTTTTTTTAAAAAAAAAAATTCGGGAAAAGTTTTTAATTTTCCCGGGACAATTTTGAACTTCATAATCCCTGTTCGGAAGAGGGGGTGGAGGGAGCGGGGGATGCCGTACCGATGATGAAGACGATGGGCACGAGGGACCGGCGCAAGCAGCGAGCGTCGAGATCCGCGCGGGGAAGTCCGGCGAGCTAAGAAATGAAAACGCGTCGAAATAAAAAGAACCAAGTGTATCGGGGACACATTATTTTCGTTGTCGGGAAAAGCTTACTGGGTCCGCGACAGGTTTGAGACACATGGACTTCCCCGCCTCACAATCTTTGAGGTACCTAATGTTTAAGCAAAGCATTTAAGCATTCTGTAATTCCTGTTTCAAACGATTAGTAACCATACATAGCCGACAGCAACCCATCGAGCCCACCTCTCGTAATTTAGCAAATCAGTGCAAAGACGGATCTTATCTAATATGGGCTTAGCGTATTTTTCTGGTGGAACATGAGGCATTTTAAGTTGTTTTTTTCTTTGTTTTCAATTTGTTTTCTGGTTTTTGACTTTTATATGTTGTTGTTTCTTCTTTTGTTTTTGTTTTCTAATTTTGAGTTCCTAGAATTGATTGTCATGTTTCCAAGGGAATTCCAATTGTTGCCAGTTCCAGAGTTAGCACCAACATCTTTTCAACTAGGTAGAATCGACTCGATTCCGCGGCTTCGCCGACTAGATTTCGATTTATTGATTTGTTGTTTTATTTTTTGGCTGATTTTTCAAAAAAAGAAGAAACCATTCATTTCAACTGAAGGCAAGCTGAAGGCCTGAAAGTGTCATCTCTTAGTGTCATTTATTGTTCTGTTTGTTTGCTGATATGCATGAATTTAAATACAAAAATTAAAACAAAAAAAAACATGGTTAGTTTTGGAAATAAGCATCTAATAAATCCTTTATTTATAGCTTAAGCAATTAACCATCACCTAAATATATAGGTTATTACACAATAATTACAAAGTAATATTTACAAAGTAGTAATAACAAATTACAACATACTATATAGTACAACAAAAATTAACGTTTAATTATCTGCCCTGTCAGAATCAACAAAGACCTTGCTGGGCGAGGGCACAGGTGAGGACCCCACACTTGATGAAGAAGAGCGCTTCAATGCTACTTCATGAGCCGTACATTGGCCCATACGTTCTTCATCAACACCTGTCAAATTAAGGAATTGCTGAGCAAGATGCATATACTTCTTCATTAATACCTGTGATGAAAACATTATGAATAAAGATGCAAACTCTATGGGATTGCACAATTTCAAAAGTTTCTAAAGTCACTTAAAAATAACAGTATTGTTGGTTTGGGTATGTACATGATCGGCTCAGCAGAGACAGTCGCCTACATATCCCAACCACCAATACTTTGTCATTTCAAAGCAATTTAGAAACTTTTGAAATCATACAATTGCACACAGTTACTAACTAAATACTAACTGAATCTATGGTGCGAAGTTTCATTTTTAAAATTATAAAAAAAATTTAAAAAAAATTGAAAATTTACCTTCATTATGTCTTAGCAAATCCATTATTTTTGCTTTGCCCTGGTAACCGTAAAATGCAATCCTCGGATTTTGTCCATTGGCACAAAGCTGATTGAAAGCATTTACTTCCTCTATTGTGGGGTTGTTGAAATCCGACCCCATATAGACATAGAAGTTCGTAGCATTTTCACGAAAATGGGCGATTAAATTCCAGACATCCCTGCCCTCCTTATCCTTGAAGTCACTCAATTTTCGCTCCAACTTATTGACAAGGTACAATTGGCCCCTCACTAATTCCTCAGGCAGCTTCCTAACTTTCTTCTCACCAATATTTCTACGGAACCGAGCAAAGGGATCCATGTTCTGCAACATGGAAGGCCAATTTTACAATAAAGAACACCGAAAGGAAAATTCGTGGAAATGTGATGAATACTGAAATCCCAAATCTAACAACCGTGATATGAGCAATCAGCACATGGGGGAAAAAAGGCAAGAGGAAAAAAGTAATAATAATCAATGATGATGTTTCATTTATTTATAACTTTAGGGCAGTTTAGACAGCAAAACAATATAATTCAACAACTAGATTTTATCTTCAGCCATACCATCCAATAACACTCATAGTTCTGTTCAACTAAAAGGAGACTATAATGTATAGAACTATTAAAAATTTCATAGTTGAGGCAAGCATTGAATCAGCAAAAGCATTTATCACAGGGCACACCTAATTTGAAATGACTTCTATAACCTGTCATTTTTCTGACATTTGGAGAAAAAGTACAATCAAATATTGGAAATAAGAGTAAATCACACAGGGAATGCATGTGATGTGAAATAAAATGAATAAAATACTATTATGCATAAAATTAGCTAATTTGAAATAAAAACAAAGCAAAACTTCACAGCTACCATTCAAAATACGTGTCCCAAAGCAAACCAAAAGTAAAAAAGTAAGATAACATAGAAATTAAGACATGTCTATTCTTTAAGGCCCACGTAAGACACAGCTTTCCCAGTCTTCTTCAAGCTTTCAAGAAGTTGATCAGAAGTGAGAGTTGAAGTTACGGATACGAGCTGTCCAGGTAGATCGATTTGGACTGCATCAACTCCTTGTCCTACGAAAAAATTAAATAAAGTTAAAATTTGAGAACAAAATCTTAAACAATTATGACAACAAAGAAACAAAATAATCACCTTTCAGCTTGCCGAGAACTCGTTCGACAGCCCCGGAGCATCCTTCGCAGGTCATCTCAACCTTGAACTCGTGGACCTGTGACGGTTATATATGTTAAATTAAACCTAAGATAACTTCACCAATGTGATCGCGCTATTTCTAAAGAAAAATAACTTGTAAAAAAAAAGAGATAAGACAGGCACAGCCTAAACTGACAGGCTAACCTAAGACCAACAGATAAATTCACTCAGGAACAGAAAATATGTCACTTACTTGAGCTGACATCCTGGAGGGCTTCTAGCTACAGACTGACTGACAGAGAACCACGCCGAAGCAAACTAGGTAAACGTATAAACCAGCACAGGGCCTGGAAATGTACAGAACAGCTGCACAAGTGTTCGACCGGCCGGATTGTTTTGATTGGACTGTGCCCCCTCCTCTTCTGCCAACTCCGCTATCCGCCCCCCGCCCCCCACTTTCCCCACTTCCCTACTCTTTCTATGAGAAATTTAAAAAACGCGAAAGCACAATGAGCATTAAATAGATATCTTGTAAAGCCACCAATGACTTAAATTATTTTTCTGACACAAATAAAAACAAGTTTTTCTGTGATTACTTCATTGTTCAAACACTTTTCTCAAACAAAAATGTTGATAAACTTCGAAAAAAGTACTGTTGTGTTTGTCCCACTGTCAGGTTATCTGAATCTGAATCCCAATCATTAAGAACTTAAATTCTGTTTGTTGTGGTTTGAAGACTGCTGTTTCTGCTGGATTTTTACCCATTTTTACTTAAATGTTTGCCTTTTGAAGAGTAGCTTCTACGCTGCAAATCGGTTTAGCTAAAAAACTGATTTTTGATGTGAATGTCTTTTTGCTGCGTTGTATGCTGGCTACATAATCTGCTGAAAGTTGTGGGCAACCTAACCTGAATACGTCACGTGTGAAGATCTATTTCTATTTTGTTGACCTCTCATTTATTTCCAAGACTCCATAACAAAATGAGTTCTGGATTCATTGTCACAAAGTCGTCTCTTTCACGCCAGAGCAAGCCAGCGGAATTTGAAGAAGTTGTCTTTAACAGCCATAAAAGAAAAGAGAAAAATGAATCTGCAAGTGCTCCGGTAAAGAAAAAAAATAAGTTACCTGATCCCATTCCCAAAAGGGAAAACGATGAGCAACACAAATTCTTAAAGAAAGCACGATATGAAGTTATGAGATTTGGAATGACGGGCTTTGATGCAGCTAAGAGGGAAGAAACAAAGCAAGCTATTGCAATATCATTAGGCGCCAAACCAAAGAAGAATAAAGGTATAAATTACAAGGAATTAATGGAGATTCGGAAGAAACAAAAAGAAGAGGAGAAAGCGAACAAAGCATTTCATAATATTGGAAAAACAACTACTGGGCATGCATCGGCTAATACCAAGAAGGGAAAGAAAGGCAACAGACAACACAGATCCAAAGGTGATCAAAATAAAGGCATTCTTGGTGTTTATGGAAAAGTCAACAAGCATGAACTTCCTAAGAAAAAGTAATAATTATGTGTCTTGTAATTTATTTGTAAT